TTAGACACATTCCAATCATTAATTTTGAAAAACCTCAAAATTTATCAATTTTGCCAATATTTGTGGCAAATTTTGAAAAATTTGGAATCATATGTTATTAGTCTTTCTCACACACCCTTTCACTATGAAAAATGGTTGGATCAATTTGGTTTCACTTTAAACAGCTTTGAATCATTAGTTTAGAAAAACTTCAAAATTTATTAATTTTGCCAATATTTGTTGGCTAACTCCTACGAGTTTTTGAAAATTTTGAGAAATTTGGAATAATATGTTATTAGTCTTTCTCACACACCCATTCACTATGAAAAAATGGTTGGATAAATTTGGTTTCACTTTAGACACCTTCCAATCGTTAATTTAATAAAAAAACCTCAAATTTGTCAATATTTGTGGGCTAACCCTTATGAGATTTTGCAAATTTTGAAAAAATTGGAATTACATGTTATTAGTCTTTCTCACACACCCTTTCACTATGAAAAATGTTGGATCAATTTTGTTTCACTTTAGACACCTTTCAATCATTAATTTTAAAAAACCTCAAAATTTATCAGTTTTGCCAATATTTGTGGGCTAACCCCTACGAGATTTTGCAAATTTTGAAAAATTTGGAATAATATGTTATTAGTCTTTCTCACACACCCTTTCACTATGAAAAATGGTTGGATCAATTTGGTTTCACTTTAGACATCTTCCAATCATTAATTTAGAAAAATCTCAAAATTTATCAATTTTACCAATATTTGTGGGCTAACCCCTACGAGTAAAAATTTGGAATAATATGTTATTAGTCTTTGTCACACACCCTTTCACTATGAAAAATGGTTGGATCAATTTGGTTTCACTTTAGACACCTTCCTATCATTAATTTAGAAAAACTTCAAAATTTATCAATTTTGTCAATATTTGTGGGCTAACACCTACGAGTTTTTGCAAATTTTGAAAAATTTGGAATAGTATGTTATTAACCTTTCTCACATACTCCTTCACTATGAAATTTTTTTGGATCAATTTGGTTTCATTTTAGACACCTTTCAATCATTAATTTAGAAAAACCTCAAAATTTATCAATTTTGTCAATATTTGTGGACTAACACCTACGAGTTTTTGTAAATTTGGAATAATATATTATTAGTCTCTCACATACTCTTTCACTATGAAAAATGGTTGGATCTATTTGGTTTCACTTTAGACACCTTCCAATCATTAATTTAGATAAACCTCAAAATTTATCAATATTGCCAATATTTGTGGGCTAACATATACAAGTTTTTGCAAATTTTGAAAAAAAATTGAATAATATGTTATTAGTCTTTCTCACATACTCCTTCACAATGAAAATGGTTGAATCAATTTGGTTTAACTTTAGACACCTTCCAATCGTTAATTTTGAAAAACCTCAAAATTTATCAATTTTGCCAATATTTGTGGGTTAACACCTACGAGTTTTTGTAAATTTTGAAATTTTTTGAATAATATGTTATTAGTCTTTCTCACATACTTTTTCATTATGAAAAATGGTTGGATTAATTTGGTTTCACTTTAGACACATTGCAATTATTAAATTAGAAAAACCTCAAAATTTATTAATTTTGTCAATGTTTGTGGGTTAACGTCTACAAAGTTACAAAATTTGCAAAAAAAATTGGAATAATATGTTGTTAATCTTTCTTATATAATCTTTTACTATGAAAAATTATTTATTTTTATTTTTGACATTTTCCAATTATTAATTTAGAAAAAAATCAAAATTTATCAATTGTTTTAATATTTGTTAGCTAACACCTATATTTTTTAAAAAATTAGAATAATATATTATTAGTCTTTCTTACATACTTTTTTATTATTGAAAAATTTCAAAACTTATCAATGTTGTCAATATATTGTTTTGTTTTTGTTTGCGAAAATCTAACGTATTTTGAAATGTTAATCTTGTTAATGACATGTTCGTCCACTGACTTACTCTCTTGCAATGAATACGTCAGGAGAAGAATTGAATAAAATATAAACCGTCGGATTCTAGAGCACACCATTGTTATTCATGATTCATGAACAACTCCCTTTTTGTTCTGGTCGGCCATCTGCCATAAAGAAGAAGAAAAAGAAAACTATTCCAGAAAAAACAAAACAGACAAACGACAAAACAAATGTAAAACCAAATCGAAGTATCGAATATTAATATAAAAATACAACATAAATATAAAAGAAAACGTGTAATTCACGGAGTCACACTGTTCCTCTGATGGCTAAGAGTACAACAAAATAGTATGTGTACACATATCATTTTGACAAAAAAATGTGTACATGCACATATCATTTCATTTTTCTAGGGTTACGTATATATGTTGAAGAAGATGAACTAATGATTAAATTTGTGTAGCCGGTTAAATTGAGTTCCGCTTTTATTATAGGCAACGCCCTAGCGTAATGAAATTTATCTGTCTTTCCAAAATGAAATCTTTCAGAGTAAGAGTTGATAAATTAAAAAATTATTTCAAGTCACAAGTCAGACCTATAATGAGCTGCCAATTAATTTGAAAAAAATGAACTGCTAAAATTAGAAATAGAAGACGACGTGGCATATCGAAGAAAGTAATCCATTGCAAACAAGTAGAATAAAATATTTTGGATTGAGCCGTTGGTTTTCATACTTGGTCGTAAAATTAAGAGGACATGGGCATTATAAAAGACAAAAATGGTAAGACCGTTTCCAAAAAGGCAAGAGGAAGAATAGTATATTAATGATTTAATATATATAGTCAAGTAGCAACACATGTTTTAGACCTTTCTTAGTTCATGAACCCTTGAATCGTACGGCCCTTTTTGTTCCTTATCCACGTTCAATGCATCTCTCGTGTACCTACTAGTACTGCTTAACCAACCAAAAAAATGGCCCCAGAAAATTCTATTATAACTTTATTCTTGACAAAATTGAGAACAAAATGAATTTCCTAATATACTGCCATGAATAAATCTTGAATATATCATACTTTTCCAATAATTTTGACTAGTAATCAATTATACACAATGTCATCAAATTTATGTTAAAAGAAATTTTCAGGTTAGAACGTAACCTGAAATGTTTTTTTTTTTAAGTGTGAGTGTGAATTCTGTATGTTTAACAAATAATATAATTTTTAAGTAAATGTACGGATCTTATACTTTCCCCTACATATTATAACTTTAAATCATGCAGTTAAACACAACATTTAGACTCGAAGAAGAAGACAGGCAGTGAAGAAATGGAAATAAACCAAACCACTCCTGTAAGGGTATTCCCAAGTCAACGTGGTCAATGGTCAAAGAGGTCAAAGTCTTTAAAAAACAGGAAAGGAATTGTGCTTTCGACTCTCGTTACTCCATGTTCTGTCTTTTTGGAGGAGAATAGTTTTGCTTTTTGTTTGATTTTTTTTGTCCACTTGTATATTGATATTTTCGTTTTTTTCTGACTTTATCATCACCAGTGACGAACTGACGACGTCCAAATATTTCATCACCGACTTAAATAATTTTCTTTTGCATTATAATTTTCTGGGTGGGCCAGTTAAGAGTGTTATCATAAATACGTAATGTAATTTCAGCTTTTTTTGGATAAAAAGTTTTCAGTTAAATACGGATAACCAATACAGACTATAGCTTTTATACAGTATGGTTTTAGGATCTTAGTCAATATAATGGGGAACATATGTTCGTTTCTGGGCAGTTGATTTTACATTAACTGACTAACTGCTCAGAATTTACCAGGTGAAACGTGACCTATTATGATTGTAGCTGATGTTTATTGTATATAGGTTTATAGATTTTAGGCTTCGACAGATGAGAGTACAGCAAGATCTTTATTTAAGTCGCAAAGACAAAATAGGCTAAATATAAAAACTTATTGTATTTGTGTGTTATTAACTAGGTTCGATGATGGAACGAGATGTGAAAGGAATAAAAGATAAAAATGATCCAAAAGAGAGAGAGAGAGAGAGAGAGAGAGAGAGAGAGAGAGTCCAAAACGCATTAAAGAAAGAAGTCCAAAATGATCGGTACATGCATGATGATTCCATCTCTAGGGCGGTCAAGTTAACCTAATCGGGTTCTTTAAAAAGTTGTATAAACCAAAAGTAGGAAGAAGGAAAATAAGATTTGATAAACTTCGTCACCATAGATAGTATCGTCAACTGTTATCCAGTGGTTTTTGAAAAGCCGTGTCGGCTTGACTTTGACCAAACTGAAGCACACGTTTACATAAATTAATACTTATTACAACCGAAGAATCTCCCAATTATTAGTATATTCACTCACATCAAAACATATAAACCACGTTCCGCACACTCTATTATACTAGTATTACTAGCACGCGTTTGCTACATTTCTTTTACATAGAGTTTAGACAAAGATATAATACTATTAACAACTAAACATCTCAAAGAAAACGTGGTAACAATCATATAGTTATATTTTGTATAGCAGAACCAACCACAAACATATACGTTGCAATAAAAACGAATGTCAACCAACTATATAAAATAGTAAAAGTTAAGAACACAACTGCATTACATACATATTATATTTAGTTAAAAAATAGTTATAAGGATTGGACCAAATACGTGTGCTTGTGGCCCCGAGAGTCGTCGACTCGAGTCCAAAGACAACAAAAGAAAAGAAAAAAAAAAGTACAAGAAAAATGATAAGTCCATTAGTTTATTGCATGAAAATGAAAAGCACATGCTCCTCTCTCTTTCCACCTAGTTTCCTCTTGACACTTCTTTATATAAAGAATCAAAACCATTCCTTCTTCCACAATCACAGAAGAGAAAAGAAGAAGAACCAATTTAGATCGAGTATTCTTTACTACGAATCTCTCAACTTTCTTCCTTATCTTACGGAACTCCCACACATATATCAAACACACAAGAATCTAGATTCAAGATTCAATCGTCGTATACATATATATGGACCAGTATTCATCTTCTTTGGTCGACACTTCTTTAGATCTGACTATCGGTGTTACTCGTATGCGAGTTGAAGAAGATTCAACGGTATGCTTCTATCGAACTCTTAATCAAATAATTTGTTAGTATTTCCATCATCATGCATTATTTATGTATGTATTTATAAAAATGCATCAAACTTTGACAAAACAAAGAAACTTGTTAATAATTTATGTCTTTATGGTTCTTGAAATCTGATTGTAACGACAGATATCATAGGTTACATTATGTTACTAACTTCATGCAATAAATGATCAATCGCAGACAAGTGCTTTGGTGGATGAATTAAAGCGTGTGAATGCTGAGAACAAGAAGCTCACTGAGATGCTAACTTTGATGTGTGACAACTACAACGTTTTGAGGAAACAGCTGATGGAGTATGTTAACAAGAGCAACATAACCGAGAGAGACCAAACCAGTCCTCCCAAGAAACGCAAATCTCCCGCGAGAGATGACGCAATTAGCTCGGCGGTTATCGGTGGAGTGTCTGAGAGTAGCTCCACGGAGCAAGACGATCAGTATTTGTGTAAGAAGCAGAGAGAAGAGACTGTCGTGAAAGAAAAAGTCTCTAGAGTTTATTACAAGACCGAAGCTTCTGACACTACCCTTGTAAGCATTTCATGAAAACTATCAAAATTTGGCTAATAGTGTATATATATCTTAGTTAAATGATATGGTTTATTGATTATAGAAGTTGTTTGTTATCAGGTTGTGAAAGATGGATATCAATGGAGGAAATATGGACAGAAGGTGACTAGAGACAATCCATCTCCAAGAGCTTACTTCAAATGTGCTTGTGCTCCAACATGTTCTGTCAAAAAGAAGGTAATCATCATTGATAAAGAGAAATTTGAATTGTTAGGCATACATATAAATCTAATTCTGATTATGTGTTTTTGTATCTCTTTAGGTTCAGAGAAGTGTGGAGGATCAGTCAGTGTTGGTAGCGACTTACGAGGGTGAACATAACCATCCAATGCCATCGCAGATAGATTCAAACAGTAGCTTGAACCGCTACATATCTCTTGGTGGTTCAGCTCCACCAGCCAACAGAACCAGTAGCTTAGCTGAGCCAACACCTGTGAGTACCGTAGATCTGAGTGAAGCCAAGAAAACGACGAGCCCAACATCAAGAATCGATTTTCCAGAGGTTCATAAGCTTTTGGTGGAGCAAATGGCTTCTTCCTTGACAAAAGATCCTAACTTTACAGCAGCTTTAGCCGCTGCTGTTACCGGAAGATTGTATCAACAGAACCAAACCGAGAAGTAGTTTAGTTTCAAATTTCCCTTTAGTATTTTTTAGATTGAAATTCGGCATTACAGAGAGTAGAGATTATAATTTGTGATACTCAAAGTGTAAAATGTAATCGTTTTTCATACAATCTCCAATACATTCCTCCTCCTAGTTTAATAACAAAAAACATCTGTACAAATGCAAACACAAAAACACAAAAACACAAAAGCACAATGTTAAAACTATTCTCACATGGTTTTTGCTTTAATTACCGGTCTCGTCCTTGGTTAAGCAGTCTTGGTGTCTGAAGCAACTAGTGAGATGGTCATTTGTGAGACCAGCTGTTTGCATGAAGGAGTAAATAACAGTTGGACTGACACTGCGAAAGCCTCTGCGAACAAGGTCTTTGCTTATCAACTCGGCTTTCGAAGTCTTCACAGGGACTTGGCGTGGGTACCGGAATTGGCTCTGTGTAGGCTTTTGGTTAACAAAGTTCCATATGTATTTGTCAAATGATCCAAATTCTACTATTATCTGGATTTGATCAAACCAACAACAACAGTCAGTAAACAATCATTTTGTTAAGAGAAACACACAAACTATAATCATCATGCATGCTTGTTTGCTAATTACCTTGCACACTTGGTTTGCGTTCTCGAGGATTGACCGTAGCTTTTGCTCTGATAGTAACGAGGTTGTAGCAACCTCAGGAGATGTTATCTTTTTATTAGTTAGTTCAGATAATGCAACTGGATCAAAGTCCATGAAAACCTCCCTGTTTAGATTAAAGCAAAAGCATTTACGAGAAGTCAAGAAAATGAAGATGCAAACACAAAAAACTTTGGTTCTGTTTACCTGAATAATTGTCTTTTGGAAAGAATGTCTTTCCAAGATAGCTCCGCAAGAGCACCAGACAGGCTTAATAACTCAAAAAGCTTCCTGCAATAAAAATATCAACGAATTTAGAGAATTTATAACACACAGAGCGTCTCTCAGATAAGAGATCATCACATACTTGTCTTCATGGACAGGAACTCCCCACTCCTCATCATGGAAAGCAATGTAACATTGGTCTTCACAATTAACAAGAGAAACAAAATTATCGGTCAAGTCAAGATAAAGTTAAGGCCTGAACCCATCACCATATAGAAATGAGTCAATGAAATTAATCTCTCCAATTCCTATTTATGTGGTCGTTGTTCAATACAGATCTCTGCCTGATCACAAAGCATACTCAAGATTTTGAGCTCTACATTCAAATACTAACTTGCAAACTCAATAACGTGAAAGTGACTACAAGTCTTATAAACTACACAAAAATCAGAGGACACTGACAATTCAATTGCTTAAACTGATATGTAGAATCAATTGTTTTGAAATTGATCAATAAAAATGATTGAAAAGGAAAGTTACCAGATTTAGGAGTGATCCAAGCGCATCTTTTACGACCATCAGAGAAGCAATCACTGGAACCACCAGCTTTTTCATCTCTCTCCTCCGTCAGATGTCTTCTCAGGGAAGAGGAAGAGGAAGAGACTGACCCGTTTCGCCGCAAAGCCCTCTTCCCGCTCGAAGTAGACGCCATACTCAACGGCGACGACTCGCACGAAGACGAAGCATCCGACGAATACGATGTGGTCATCGAAATGCCGTTTCGCCTCAGGATTGAAGGGCTCAGAGGCGAGCATTGCGGCATTTTCTTCGCCGGAGACGCCGTAAAGGTTTGATTTTTCGCCGTATCAGTCACAGGCTTCTTCAGCGGTTTTGACACCGGTTTCTGCTGCAGCTTGTTACCGGCGGGACCAAGAACTGATCGGAATTCTCGGTCGGCAGAATCCACAGACCGAACTCGCGGTGGAGCCGACATTGACCTATCGAAAATTGCCCTCTTGGAATCACAAGTTTAAAAACACTAGATCACGACTGAGAATTGCGATTTCCGAAGAAACCTCAAACCAATTCCAAGAGATTTTACACGGATTTCGATAAGCCCTAGAAAACAAGTAGCTGCATTTACAAATTTCAATGAAAGTCTTCACCTAAATTTTCTCTACTCTTTAGAAAAATCTTGTGTCGAAATCCCAAGTTGCTCATTTGGATCACGGGAATGACAAAGGTTTACACTCATAAGAAACGTGAAATGGTAAATCCAAAAAAAGAGAACAGTGACAAGAAAATTATCCTTTTTGACTTCGGAGAACCCAAAAGGAGAGGACTTTTCCGATGGAGAACGAAAGGAATCGAATTGAAGGAAGAGAGAGTAAGAGAGTACGATGGAAGACAATTTGTCGTCCCAGTCACAGTTTAACACGTCATCGTTTGGTTCCTCCGCTACCCGACCCGGAAAAACGGGTCAAATCTGAGAAGTTGGTTGGTATTTTGTTTCAAGTTTCAGTTAGATCGGAGGCTCCAATTCCCAACAATGGGTCTTAAATCTTAACCCGGTAAAGCGCACATATATAATGTCGGAAAATGTTGTGTCCGAATGGCCCGACCAAAAGCCCAATTGTCTGTCAGAACGGACTAAAAAAGCCCAATATAATGTCTGCAAACTTGATGTCTGAACGAGCGATCTTGTCGGTAAATTTAATGTCGTAACGACCATCAAAACCCCGACTTTATGTTCGAAAAAATTAGATGTCCGAACAAAATTTTATGTCTGAATTTTTTTTGTTCAAATGGCCCAATCAAAATCCCAATATTTTTTTTCCCCAACGGTCGAAATTTTTATGTCGAATTTTTCTGTCTAAACCTCAATAATTTTTGTCTGAATCGAGCAAATCTTGTCGGAAAGTTTATTGTCCGAACCAAATTTCATGTCTGAACGGCTATTGTCGGAAAAAGTTATGTCGGAACCGAAGATCGAACTTCTTGTCGGAAATTTTTTGTCCTAAGATCAAAAACTCAATCATTTTTGTCTGAATCGAGCAAATCTTGTCGGAAAGTTTATTGTCCGAACCAAATTTCATGTCTGAACGGCTATTGTCGGAAAAATTATGTCGGAACCGAAGATCGAACTTCATGTCGGAAATTTTTTTGTCCTAACGACCCGATCAAAAACTCAATAATTTTTGTCTGAACCGAGCAAAACTTGTCGGAAAGTTTATTGTCCGAACCAAATTTCATGTCAGAACGTCCCTTGTCGGAACCGGAGATCGAACTTCATGTCGGAATTTTTTTTGTCCTAATGACCGGATTTAAAGCCATTGTCGGAACTGAAATAAGATGTCCGAACAGAAAAATCTTGTCACGAAATTTATTGTCTGAACGGCCAGATAAAAAACCTCAATTTTTTGTCTGAACGGGCCGATAAAAATCCATTTTTATGTTGGAACGGCCCAATAAAAAGCCCAAATAAAGGTCTTATTGGGTCACTCAAAGGCCCAATAATAGATCGAAACGGAGCGATTATAAGCCCTGCTCGAGGTTGGAATGGGACGATTCAAACTCTAATTTCAGATCGAAACGGGGTGATCAAAGGCCAATTTTAGATACTTATGGGCCGTCTAAACCCCAAATTGGTTCACTGAGCAGATGTTATCTTTTCTATCAGATCACGGAGAAACAAGAAGAAAGAGAAAGATGTCGTAGTTGTTGCCTTCAACAATACAATACCATAGATTACATAAACCCAAGAAAAATGGAACTGCTTAATCCAATGGAACTGTAAAAATCAGATTTGGGTACAAAAGAAAACATTCAAAACAACAAGAGAGGACTAAAGCAGCTCACTTTCATAGGAGCTAAAAGCTCTTTCTAACTAGTGGTTGGTTATGTTCCTTCGAATCAGGAAACCGATTTGGCACGAGCACTTGGATCTTCCTTGGATTCGACAAGCATCATGAAACCATAACCGAGACACCAGAGCAAAATGTATTGGAATGGAACCCAAGAAAGACATGCCAACAGAGACATGATACTCCCAACATACTGTGGATCTCTGATAACTCCAAATGGGAACTCCGTAACCCAAGGTATGTTCTTCCCGAATCGAACTCCGTAATATGTTCCAGCTTCACCTAACAGTTGATATACCCTGCACAGATGTGACCTTTTCTAAGTATCAAAAATGGATTTCAGATTAATAAAAAGCTAAAGTTTCCTAATTTCCATCAATGTCACGCATTCGATTCGAATTCGAGAAATTGAGAGAGAGAGAGGAGGGAGGCAATAGATCGGACCTGAAATTAAGAAACTGGCCAAAGGCGATAAGGGGCCAGAAGTAGAGAGGAGGCCAGGAGAGAGATGCGACGGAGAAGAGAGAGAGCAGTTGAGCAGCCTTGAGCACGTGCGATACACGAGCCATCACCGTCGATGGGTCTCTTCCTTGGCCGCAGAGATTGACCCATGACTGAGGATTCGTCCACAGCCACCAGTAGAACGGAAATGGCAACAGAACTCCGATCGCAGCCAATATTCCCATCTCGCTTACGTTTTTTCTTTGTTTCTTTCCTTTTTCCGAATTTTCTTGCTCGTTCATGTTTGTGCTGATTTTCCCGTCTGATGTTGGGTTTCTAAATGGGCCTTTTTGGGCCCACTATACATTGTCACAAGCCTTTTCTTAATACGGTCACATCACAATCGTATAATAAATTTAATTTTTATCAGAGAATATCATATGATTGGAATTAGCGATTAAAATGGTTCTTATTCAGCCACAAGATAATTAAGAATTTAATCCTTTATACTTCTATCAAATTAGACATCAATTATTCTACCGTTATAGTCCAACTAATTATCCACTGTGATTCTTGAAATGTACGTACATCAATTAATCTACATTTTATCTGCTGTCGATTTGTACAAATTGGCTTCATGTTTTGTGATAGTAGTTTCTCAGTGGTAGTTATCGTTTGGAATTTGGATATTGCATTAGGTGTGAAGTTCTTATCGGATGTTCTTACACAATCGTTTTACATCATCAAAAACAGACAGACAAAGTCTTAAGATAAGTAGCTAAAGAAAGAGAGCGAACGACCAAAAATCGGAAAGAACAACAAATTTCCCGAAAAAGAAATGGTAAATGTAATACGGTTTTTTTTGTTCTCATTCTCTGTTTGTCTCTTCTGCTCATACGATGTTTAATATTTCTTGTTTTCCTATTTTATCGAATGATGTTTAAATTTCGTGTTCCATTATTAGACATATTCAATTTATACCACAACACACTAAGTTCTCAATTATATGAACCTGACATTTATCCTTTCTAATAACAACTTACTAATAATAAAACTAGAAGATAAATATATACGTGGTCTTAACTCTTAAGTGTTATAAGACTAGTTCTCTAATATTATATCACTGAATAGTTACAATTGTTTAGCTTGAAGAACAGCCGCCGTATGCATCTTTATATAGTGTACAACTCTACTAGTCGCGCTTTTCTTTATCTTTTTGGCATTTATACCAGATTTGTAAAGAAAAATACTATAGTTGTAGGTATTAGGCCTTGTTCTTCGGTGGTTTATCTTTATCTTTTTGGCATTTATACGTTAAATAGTAAGAAAAATACTAAAGATCTAACTATAATTTCTTAGGTATTAAGGCCTTGTTCTTCGGTGGTTTATTTAACTCAAATGTGATGATTGACATTGCATTAAAAAAAAACTCATAGATTATTTAAATAATAAAAAGGTCCCATAAACTTTACAAAGCTGCCTCGTAGCTATATATATGACATCACGAAATAACCCCAACTTATAACCACCAATAAATCCCCCACTCGAGAAAAGAAACAAAAAAACAAAAAACACAGCTTTTTTTTTAAAAAAAGACCCACCACGTATATTTTCTACTTCTCAACACGGGAAAACGCATATGTCGAGGAAAATAGCGGCGGCAGCGGTGGTGGGGGTTGCGACTGCGGTGGTGGTAAGAGAATACGACGGGGAAACCGACAAGCGTCACGTGGAGGAGATGGAACGGAAATGTGACGAAACCGGAAAGCATGGCAAACCGGTAATGGTCTCTGATCTCTTGGACGATCCGGTTTGTCGCGTCCGTCATTTTCCGTCTCACACGATGCTGGTAAATTCAATTCATAATTAATCTCTTTTAACATTATATTTAACACCTCTTTACACATTTACTTGAACTGTTGAAAATGGATAGGTCATAACTAGGTGGGTGATTGGTTGAAATAAATATAAAAATAAAGATAACATCGCTTTCAAGTTTGATGTGATTAAAATAAACGCTGAAGATGTAAACATGCAAGGTGTCTAGGTTGCAGAGTACGGAGAAGGAAGAAAGATGGTGGGAGTTGTGAGAGGATGTGTTAAAACTGTGACCAGAGGAAATTCAATTTATGTCAAACTCGCTTATGTTCTTGGTCTTCGAGTTTCACCTTCCCATCGGTATTTTCCTTTCATAATCTACCTTTGCGGTTATCGTTATGTAATGATCATAAACGTGACAAAGACACATTTGTTAACAAGTTCTTTTCGTTAACAATTTTTAATTTATAAAGTAAGATATTGTATATGAATCAAGATATCAACTAATTTTTGAATTTAATTTCTGAGCAGTAATTTAGGCATAGGAACAAAGCTGGTGCAAGCACTTGAAGAATGGTTCAAGCAACAAGGCGCAACCTACGCGTACATGGCCACTGACTGTACCAACGAACCTTCCATTAACTTATTCACCAAGAAATGTTCCTACGTCAAATTCCGTACACCAACAATGCTGGTTCAACCGGTTCACGCGCATACAAAACCGATCGGTTCAGATATCGCAATCATTCGGTTAAGTCCCAAAACCGCCGAATCAATCTACACCAGGATTTTCAAAGACTCTGAATTCTTCCCTCGTGACATAGACGCAGTTTTAACCAGCCGCAACAGCTTAGGAACGTTTATAGCCGTACCAAATAAAAATCGTGGTCCCAAATCAAATCGCTTAGACCGCGATTTCCCTGCGGATTTTGCGATATTAAGCGTTTGGAGCACCAAAAACGTATTCAAGATGCAACTGAAAGGCGTTTCCCGGTTAACTCACGCAATTTGCTCCGGTTCAAGATTTCTCGATTCCTGTATGCCATGCATAAAGTTACCTTCGTTCCCTAACGTGTTCGACAAGTTTTGGGTTTATTTCATGTACGGAATGCACATGCAAGGCAAAGATGGTCCAAGACTTATGAAAAGTTTATGCTCTTTTGTGCATAACATTGGGAGAGACGACGGAGGTTGTGGAGCTGTAGCAGCTGAGCTAAACCCTTCAGACGCTGTGGCTTTGGCCGTTCCTCACTGGAGACGGCTTTCGTGGGCTCAAGATCTCTGGTGCCTCAAGAAACTCTCTGATGAACCTGAACTATCCGATTGGAGTATATCGAGATCTTCTTCTTCCTCCGTTATTTTTGTTGATCCTCGTGATATATAATGAAAGCTCGGAAAAGGATTTAACTTTATTGTACACAAAGATGATTAAACCAAAAGAAAAAAAAAGAAAAAAAAATCATGTGACTCTTTACAGTTTAGACTCTGTTCTGAAATTTTAGGTATGAAAAGAACATTCTAAGTACTCACTTATAGCTTTATTCCTCTGCATCAAGATTATCAAAATCAGGTTCTGGTGGCTTTTGAAGATTCATCAAACTATTTGAACTCTCTGTGGCTCTTAGCTTACGACCCTTAAGCGCGTTAGCAGCAAATCTTGATGCCAACACCGTGGAACGTAATCTAAAACTTGATCCAACAGAACTATCACTTCTTGTAACCACGCCCATATTATCATCATAATCGTCATCATCTTTATAATCCATTTCTTCTTCTTCTTTACGTCTAAGCTCTGCGTTTTTCCTTCTTAAATGTCGACGCCAAGCGGCTTGGATAAAACAAGAAGCCCAAGTCCTCCATTGTTGTGAGTAAAACCTGAAAGTTTGTTGCACCTGACGACTATGAAGACGCCTAAACTGACTTGCCACAAACTTGAGCTCTTCAGCTTCCAAGGCAAAAGCCTCTACTTCAGTTAGAGCCTTCACTGTTCTTGTTGAAGAAGGTAAGTTTGAGCCTGCTTTAGGGTCAAGTGCCCATGTCAGAAGCTCTTCACCACAAAAGTCGCCTTCTTTCAGTAATCCTCTGTTGAAGAAACCGCTTCTTCCACCATCCGTCGTTACACTCTCTAACCGGCCTCTGATTATGAAGAGCATTTCGTTAACCGGATCTCCTTCTCGCACTATGTAAGTGCTCTCTGTGTATAGACTTGGCTTCAGTCTCTCACAGATCGCGTCTAGTAACCTCTCATCCATATTCGCAAACAGAGGAACCTATGGAGAAAGAAGAAAAAACTCATTGTTCCTTGTGAATCAAGTATATATTCTGTAGGGAATTTCACATTGTGAATTATTGTAAAACTTACCCTTCGAACTAAATTTAGACAGAGATGGCGTTTGATGTCTCTTCTGAGATCTTTTGGTAAACTCTGGACTATGTTTTCTTCGTCGACTCCTCTTGTTTCTAACCATTTGTATTGATCATAGCGTCTGACTCGTTCCCTTAGGTTCTGTGGGAGTGACCTATGGTGCATCCACTGTTCGGAATCACGTCTTTTGATCCTCATTTCCTCTAGACGAACCGTAAGTGACTGAAGATAAGTCTGCATATTCCCGATGAGAAGAGCAAAGAGAAGAAGCCCGGCTACAGCAATTGCAATTGAAAACAGAACTTCTCCTGGATATGTACTTGTTTGCAACCCTTGACCTAACGTGCTATACACGAAAGCACACTACATGTTAGAATAACAGCACCACCAGCTAATAACAGTGATTCTTCGGTTTCAATGTGATTGTTTACCTGAGATTTTGGAGACCCCACCAAAGGCAATAACAAAACTTGGAGAAAAACGTTGTCGACGATACAATTCCAGAAGACACAGCCTGACCATAGATCCCGTAGTTGAATTTGGAATCATCGCTTTTGCCAGAACAGTTGTTCTTGAAAAGATCAGGGACAGATTTGGTCCACTCGGTGTCTCGGTTGCTCATAAATTTGCTGCCACAATACAGAATCTGGACGCAGAGTTTAGGATCCGGCTGGACTTTACAAGCGGATCTCAAGCATGTATCGTTCCGTTCCACTGACAACATGTACCAGAACGCGCCAGTAATCTACCAAAGTATATATAACAAACGTTTTAGAAACAGAGACAACAAACACACAAGGAAGCTGTTGTCTGAATATTTAACCTAGAGTTGATTTTTGAAAGTCTTACGTGGCTTGCAAGCATGTACCAGAGGAGATAATAAGCAGCACCAGCCCAAGCACCTTCAGCGAAAGCTCCTGCGGTTTTCTTGAGCTCTGATGTTAATGGAATAAACCTAACGAATCTTGGTATGTACTGAGTGATGACTATGTGTAATATCGCCTGTTTCGTCGGTAACACATCTGATCCTTTTGATCCATGAAGAAACTTCCACACAGCAATCTGCAAGAACAACCGGTTCGAGAAATCAATGCATATCCAATGCTCTTTGAGTTATAGTAACACATAAACATTGAGCCTATAGTAAATAGTAAACACACAAAGATATTGAAGCTCGTGAATTAGTACACACACAAAGATTGAAGTTTCTGTATATAGTGATACAAAAGATTGAAGCTTTAGTAAAAACTAAAACACAAAGACTGACGCTTTAGTAAATACTAAAACTCAAAACATTACATTTTCAGTAAAAATTATAAACACAAATATTGAAACTTTAGTAGCAAGCGACACAAAGATTGAATGAAGCATAATTATTTGAAATTACCTGAGGCAAAGGAAGGACAGCGAGGAAATCGACAATGAAGTAACGAGTCAAATAGCGTTCGGCGATCTTGGCAGGGTCAATCACAAGCTCACCTCTACCAAACACACGAGAAGAAGGAGCGATATAAGCTGTACGAAATTGCAAAGCCATTCTCGTGAGGTAAAAAACATCGATGATCGTTCTCAGAGTCGTTGTAGTCACAGCTAATTTGGAGTCGATTCCAATGCAGTTCCCTGAGTTATCAACAATGGGGAGGTAGAAAAACAAAGGATCAACAGAGACAGCGAGGATACAAGAAATGACGAACATTCTGTTCCATAACAAAAGTGTTTTGTCTTGAGGATCAAAGATCTTCTTCTCGGATACTCTTAGGTCTTCAGGGAAAACAGCTCTCGTGACGCCTGATGTCAGCGATTTTCCGATCGTTCTTAGACCCTCAGATCCGATTTTAACGCCTTCTCTAAAGGATTTGGATGTGTTCTTCGACTTTGATCCTCCTCCTCGGCCGGTTAGGTTGAACATTCCAAAACATGATCTCTTCTTTCCCGTAGCAGTAGAAGGCGCCATTGATACCCTCGAATCTGTATCATCTAATCTGTAATGTAACATTCATAGATCTGAATTAACAAATGACGTGAAAGAAGGATCGATCTCGTTGAATTTTTGTTTCTTTTTTACCTTACGAATTTTTCTCTCTGGCCACCTATATATTGGGATTTGTACATTTCCTTGGAGAATCGATCTCATATGTACGAACCAAAACCTTGCAAAGAACAATATTTGTTTTCATTAAATTAAGAAACAAACCTGATCATAAAAACATTTTTAAAAGAGAAAGAGCTTTGAAAACGAAAAGCAGTCGTTAAATTTTCTCAATTTCTTGTTATCACCTAGACTTACGGTGATTTCCGGTATTGTCGAGAGAAGGGTCTGATTTTTTCTAGGATCTAGGGTTTGAAAACTTGGGGAAGAAGAAAGCAAGAAGAAGACATTCCGCATTTCCTACCTTGCATGGCGGAGGAAGCTGTGGAGAGCAAGCAACGGACTAGACGCCACGTAAGCAACCAAAACATTATACCGGTCAAATCCGGTTCAAGTCGAATTCTAAGAGCCGTAATACATTTTGATATTCATTGTCGTACCAATAATATTCCTTTTCAATCGTAATATTTAGCTCATCTTAAAGTCCATAGTGTAGTAGAGTAGACTTTCATGCCTTCGTAATATTAGCTAGATCATACTATAAATAAAGTGGTACTTTGCTTAAAAAGTGAATGTTAATGGCTCCTTACATGATCTAGCTAAGTTCTCCATGCAAATACTACGAAGGTATTTTGCTTAAAAGAGCACCGAATGTTCAACAATTTCTTAAAAAAACCAACAAAATCTATTAATGATAGCAATTGTTTTACTGAACATTGTAGGAGTGCAAGACCACAAAAAGACAGTGGATCTGACTCTCTCTTTATTGTGTAACAAAAAATTTCAAAATCTGAGTGCACATGACACTGTTGGTCCACAAACGCCCACTTACGACTTTATCAAAACATAAAGAATGGGACATCCCATAGAGTTTTTTTGTTTCTTTATGAACTCAACGTTATATTTGTCATCACAATACCAAAATCGTTATGATTTTTTTCATATTCATTCCAATATTTACAACTTTCTGTCGAAAATCCTTTGAATCAACCATAAAAATCCATTGCAATCTTCGAGATTCGTGCACATTTTGCCAAACAGCTAGAACGTCCTTTTCTACCGCGAGTATGATCGAAGCAATGATTTATTTATGATCATTGAAAATAGTTTTATATGCTTAAGCAATCTTTTAATAACAAAAACAATAATTTACGCATAACTACCGAAGCAGTCAAAGCGGATCTTGGACACTTCGCCTCTCAAATCGTTAAACATAAACTTCTTCTCCTTTTTCTTGAATCTCGTTAACAAACTAACTAATTCCTTCTGTACTATTTACCCAAATTATCCAAGATTTTAAAAAATATAAAAATAAACAAACATTAATCTCAATCAACTTAGCAAGTAGATGATTAGGATAAATTAACAAATAAAAATCTAATCTTAACATCACTATACGATCCACTACCAAAAGCAAGTAACATCATCATTATAAACAACATTATCATTTCCATTCTTTCTTTTTTTTATTACAAACTTTTGTCAAATCCATCCACTATAGTAATAACCTCTTCTTTTTCTTTGTGTAATTATTACGCAGTTTGAATCTCGATTTTCTCAGTTTATGAAAAATCAAATATATATATTTTTTTTAAAACGTGAAATATAATTTTAAATTTTAATCCTCAAAAAGTAATCTATATATAAAAAAAGAGATTAATAAAGCAAAGTCATGAACAGCTTTTTGTCCTCTAGAAATTCTCAACGACCAGACTAAATGCAGAGAGATACCGAATGTTCAGAAACGATTCCATCTTTCAATAGCAAAGAAACAGAGAGACATGCCTTCAAGACCAAATCCAATCCGACCAAAGCCATTCATCAACAGAACAAGACTTCTCTTCTTGATCCTCACAATCTCTTCTTCTCTTGTCGTCTTCTTCGCAATTCTCTACTTCATCTACCACCTCTGGACTTCTCTTCTCAACCGTTCCAGAACCATCCCATTCTTCGACGTCGTCGCGTCGCCATCAAAGCTCCAGCTTTTCTCTCACAAAGAGCTCAAACTAGCAACCAACGATTTCGACGAATCCAACGTGATCGGCAAAGGCGGCTCGGGAACTGTCTTCAGAGGCATTACAAGAGACGGGAAGCTATTCGCGGTGAAGAGACTCGACAATCTCTCTCTCCAAACAGAGACCGAGTTTCAGAACGAGTTACAGATTCTCGGCGGGTTAAAATCGTCATTTCTGGTGACTCTTTTAGGCTACTGCGTCGAGAAGAATCAAAGGTTCTTGATTTACGAGTATATGCCAAACAAGAGCCTTCAAGAGCTTCTTTTCAACGAAGATGGAGATTCGGGGTTGAATTGGGAAAGGAGATTCAGTATCATCCTCGATGTAGCGAAAGCTCTCGACTTTATGCATTTCGGGTGTGACCCACCAGTGATCCACGGAGACATCAAGCCCAGCAATGTTCTTCTGGATTCTGAATTCAAGGCGAAGATCTCCGATTTCGGTTTGTCTAGAGTTAAAGTTGAAGGAGGAGGTTATGGGATTGATTTGTTCAGTCAGGATTTGGGGAAAAGTCAAGAACTTTCTGGGAATTTCGGAGGAGAGAGCACTCCTCAGACCGCCATTGGTACTCCAACGCATCACGAGGTTGATTTCGCTCTTGCTCTACAAGCTTCATCGTCTTCGAAGAACAGTAGAACGAGTCGGAACATTAAGGCGATGGAGCTTAACTCGATGAGCTTAGGTTTGGAAGGTGAGACGAAAGGGAAAGAGGTTTCAAACGATAATGTGTTGTCATGTGAGGATGTTGAGTTTGATGAGGGAAAGGAGATGAATTTGAGCCCTAATTCGGTTCTTGATTTGGGGAAAGGGTCGAAACAATGGGGAAGAGATTGGTGGTGGAAGCAAGAAGGGAGTGGTGAGCTGTGTAGTAAAGATTACGTTAGGGAATGGATTGGGAGTCAGATTCACACTGCGAATCCGGATTGGGATGATGAGAAGAAGATGGGAAATTCACACATCAACACTCCTCCTGAGCTGGGAAATTCAACGAGGACAATGGAGAAAGCAGAATCTAGGTTTGACACTTTAGAAGAGAAGTTTGCAGAGGAAGAGAGCAGCGAGAGGAAGAGCAAGAAACCAAAGAAGAAGAAGCATAGGAACATGGAGGAATGGTGGAAAGAGGAAGAGCATCAAGAAGAGATGAACAATCAGAAGAAGATTAGAATTCTGAGGATCAAGTTCAAGAACCGTTTGAAAGTCTCACACTTTCGTTTCTGTTTCCGTGGTAAAGGCGAAAACAGCGTGCCAGAGGGAGGAGAAGGAGAAGCAGCAGGAGAGTTTAGCTTCAGGAGAGGATGGAGAAGGAAAAGCAACAGCAGCAGCAAGAAGAAGAAGAAGGACAACAAGAAGAACAGATCAATGGGGAGTGAGATGTGGAGTGGAGATTTGTTCAGCCGTGAGCTAAGCAGCACGACGAGTATGAGAGGGACATTGTGTTACATAGCACCAGAGTATGGAGGCGGTTGCTGTTACTTGATGGAGAAAGGAGATATCTACAGCTTTGGAGTGTTGGTTCTAGTGATAGTCTCGGGAAGGAGGCCGTTACACGTCCTTGCGTCGCCGATGAAGCTTGAGAAAGCGAATTTGGTGAGTTGGTGTAGGCAACTGGCTCAGTCAGGGAATGTTCTTGAGCTGGTGGATGAGAGATTGAAAGATGTGTATAACAAGGAAGAGGCAGGGTTGTGCATTAACTTGGCTTTGGCTTGTCTGCAGAAAGCGCCTGAGTTAAGGCCTGATATTAGTGAAGTTGTGAGGATCTTGAGAGGGGAAATGGATATTTCGTCGACTGCTTTCGAGTTTTCTCCATCGCCTCCTGCTAAATTTTATGGCAGTAGATCAAAGCGGAGAAGTTAGAAACAGAGCAAATGCAGAGTAACTTGGGAAGGTTTTGCTTCTGAGAATTGTATTATGTTGCTTGTAAACTATGAACGAAATGCGAATTCAATCAAAACGCAGAAGAATATGTATATCAAATTATAGTTCAACTGCAGTTTCATCTTGAGGCATTTCTAAATTTGATCTTCAGGCATATTTACTGAGCTAATGAAGTGCCCCCAAAATATTTCTTTTGTGTAAAATGGGCAAGTTAGGTTTTTAAAAAGCAATAAATTTTCAAAAGCTTGCAAGCTGCAACTAAAGTAAACAAGTCATAAATCAAGGGACCCATAGGCCATAACTTTATTGATGGAGGAAAATGAATGGTTCCTTGAAATGCGGCATGACAATTGCAACACTCTAAAAAATCAAGGCCGTATCAATCATCATGATTCATGAGTCGTGACTCAGAAGAATTATTGAAAACAAAACAAAGTCTAAGGACAAAAGAACACAGAAGATCTTGCCTTTGAAACACATGGAGCTGTTGCACGGTTTGCTTCATACCATGACACATTGAACTCAAACTTCCTTTATGCAGAGATCGTAGAAACCTTCTGTGCATATATTCTGATGTCTTTCATGTCGTACGGAGAGAGATTCCTGAATCAGCATGGTTGCAAGTGATAATTATATTGCAGATTCTCCTCTGAAACCATACAAACCAAATGGAAAGGATGGGCTGGGAACGAAGCTTCTGGTCTCGACCATGAGCTCTGAGAATCGAGTCATTACTTGAGTGATTGTTTGATCAAAATCTTCAAGTCTTACTCGTATCTGATTCTTTCATGTATATTGATCGTTGACCTTTATAGCCTCCCCGAGAACCAACTTTCTGAAGATCTTTCCTCTTGCTTTTTCTGTTCCCATTCACCTTTTGCTCCTCAAGAAGTTTCTGGAGCTTAGGATTTCCTGAAAACCCCTTTGATTTCATCTCTGAATAAATCTCTCTAGCCTTTTCAAGCCAACCACATGTCAAAAGGCCCTGCACTGCAGCCAAGTAGAGAGCAGGATTAGCCGCTATATCAAAACGACCCATTTCTTCCCAGATCTTCAAAGCATTTTCCGGTTGCTTTCCCTTGAACAGTTTTCCAAGAACGAGGAGAAAGGTGTCTTCTTTAGGACCTAACCAAGAAATCTTCATTTGGCCTAAAACCTCTAAAGTCTGATCAAAATCTACAGCCTCAAGGAATGCATGAAATGTATCAACTGTTGGATTTAGCTTCTCACTTATCATGGTTTCCAACACATCCCTGGCTTCTTCCACCTTTCCAGCCTCACAAAGCGGCCGTATCATCGAGTCATAAGTGACAGAATCTGGCTTTAACCCTTCCTCCTTCATCTTTTCCATAAGCTTCATAGCTTCATCAAAGCAATCCTCACGTGTCAGCACATAAACCAAAGAACTGTAAACTTCAACCCCTGGAGCCAACCCTCGTTTCTTCATCTCATCGTAGAGCCTGAGAGAATCAAAAAGGTTCCCAACTTTAGAGAAGCAAGAGATCATGTGACTGTATGAGTCCTTGTTAGGCGTGACACAGTAATTCCCCATCTCTCGCCAAACCCTCTTCGCTTCAGCCACATCAGTCCAAATGTTACACCAACCGTTAAGAATTACGTTGAACCCCTCAACATCCACCGGAAAGAGCTTTTTGCTTGCAAGCATAAACTCTTCAGCTTTTTCAATGTGCCCATGTCTACATAATGCATACAACAACCCTTGAAATGCTTCTTCATCAGGAATGTGCTTAAACTTATCCATGAGACCAAATGTTCTAATAGCTTGGCTAGTATCATTAGCAGCAGCATATCTACACTCAATACCAATACACACCAATTCAATACCTAGCAAAAATTCAACAGGTGAGGAACTTTGCATATCTAAGAAGAAGAGGAAACTCTAACCTGTCCATCATGAGGAACATGGCCTTTCGAGTGTCCCTTGAAGCATTGAACATATCACGGATCAAACACCAAGCAATGTTGAACTTTTGATGATTACCCAAAACCCAGATCATCAAGTCACAAGCTTTCTGATCATCGCAGCCGCGTTTCTCTCCCCATTTGAATGCCAGAAAGGCAAGCCTCCACTCATCTCTTAGTTCCCAGATTAGAGAGTACACAGAATCGTGACTGAGACCAAAGGAGGACTCTTCTAGAGAAGCCATGGCATCCGACTCCGACTCTAGCTCAGAGACCTCTCTGACTAAATCAATCAGACCCTGTTCCAGCGGAGCAAAGACTTCGTTGACATCAAATGTTTCGGAGATGGTTTGGGTGGAGAATCGATTGGACGAGACGAAATTGGGTACGTAGCTTAAGATTTGAGAATGTACAAGACCTGCTCGACGAAATGCTGAAGAGAAGGAAGCAATTTGGAAATACGAGTTAGAAGAAGATGTCGACACTGCACGTAGAAGCAGATATTGATGTTGAACAATCCGCCATTGAGTCGTTCGCGTTAGTTTCGCCACAATCGCAGCCATAGCTCACCGGAAGTGAGTGAAGGAAAGAGGTTTTAGTCGCCAGAAGTAAGAGTGCGCATGTTATCATTCACTACGCTCTTCCGCACCAGATTTTGATTTCTTTCTTCGAAAATGGGCTTGTAAAAGTAATATTGACTTTTAAGGCCCAATTGGACAAGAAGGGTCGTCTTCCTTATCTCTGAGAGAGGGTCTAAAGCTGATAAACCCTGGACCAGAAGGGGAAATCTGAATCGGAGAAGTTGAAGGGAAACTGAGATGGGAAGTGAGAGTAAGAACAAGGGAGCTTCAAATTTGGGAGGAGGAGGAGGATTTAGGGCAAAGATGGAGCACTATGTCTACAGTGGCGAAAAGAAGCACGTTTTTGCTGGGATCGGGATCATCACCATCATCTTCGGAATCCCTTGGTATCTAATGAATCAAGGTCCGTTTTCCAATGTCGATTATAAATCCTTTGTTTGAATAAGCAATGATTACGAGCAAAGTCAACTTTTTTAAGAAGAAATGTAGCTTTTTTTCCCGGAAATGTGTCATTTTGAAATCGATGGCAATGGAATTGGGAAGAGTATAACGAGTCAGTAGTAGTCACAGTGTTTTATGTTGTTAGAATCGTAGACTTGCATGATCACAACCCTACTTTCTTTCTCTGCTTTTCCTCTCATGATCACAAATTAGAACAATCCTCCTAACACATAGGCCTAATTGTTGTTAAATTCTTGGTGTCTTTCAGGATCTAAGCATCGGTCACACCAAGACTACATGGAAAAAGCAGATAAAGCTCGGAAATCACGTCTCTCATCATCATCTTCAGCTTCATCCTCTGACAAGTAGTTGTCTCCAAGTAGTCTTCTTTTTGTAGCCTCTAGTGCTTGTGGCGTTTTCCATGTCCATAGAAACATAACTCAGTTTGTGGTTTTAGTTCAGATATGTATCATTTCACTGTTCTCAAGTTTCTGTATCAAATAAATGAAAATTTTCACATACACAGATAAATGACAAAGTTGGAGAATTTCTTCATTCTCATAACATTTCCTCTACAATAACACTGTTTCATCATCTTGTGAAGATCACAGATGGTTAATGAATATAAGCAACATGAAAACAGTAATAGCCAAATCATCTACTTGTCCAGGCTGCTATGTCCTCACAGAGGCATGAGTCTTCTACGTTTGTAGAACCAGACGAACGCCAAAAATATAAGAAGGCCACAGACTCCAGTTATGGCCAAAACCCATTTGAAAGCACCAGGCACTTCGAAGAAATCTATCTCAAAATTCATCCCAAAGATCCCAGCTACAACCCCGAAGATGGCTACAACGAATGTCGCTGTTGTTAGCAACAGCTCGAACTGGATCAGCTGATTCCGTACGTTATCCTGAAAATCCCAAAACATTTCAGCACACTCTTATGGTAAGTATGATCAAGATTTAAAGGTATTACCAATTGAATGTTGATGAAATCTTCAGTATCATCAATGTACTCCTTTAACTGATAAATAAAGAGAGGATTATACAACTTTTAACCGCTGTTAAAGCGAGATGATGAATGAATATGAAGGAGTGGTTTTGATGTTTACCGAGGTTAGCTTGTTGAGAGTGCTATCGATGACAACAAAGTATGCTTCCAGCAACATCTCAAGCTCCTCTATATTCTCTGTTGTGCTCTCTGAGCTTCTCGCACTGTCATGCCGACTCCTTGCAATGCTCAAGCTTTTCTCAAGTCTCCGGGAATCAGGAGGAGAAGAAACAGGAGAAACTGGTGCAGAAAGAGACTGACCATCATTTGATTTGTATCCAAGTACGGACTGATCACCATACAAAGATCCTTCCATTCTCTTCTTCTTCTCCGTCAGATACATTTCCGCCATATCTCCATCATCGTCCATCAACTGTTCAATCTCGTCACGAACTTTCTGAACTCTCCTCGTCAATGCTACAAGTCTGCTCTTTAGTCTACGCACACGCTCCAAGTTTAAAGTACTGATCTTTGAGGTAAGCTCATCCAGTAACGGGTAGGCTTCAATCTCCAACTCCGAAGCCTGTGAATCAAGAAACGTACAAGCAGCTTCGAGTGCGATCTCAAGAGCTCTAAACTCGAAAGGTAAATAGTCAGGGGATGAGTTTTGAAACACATTGTCTAAGCTCCTACTCCTCCTCCTGCTCAATTCAAGACTATCCTGATTCCAAACCTCACCAACAGCACTCGCTTTAAGCCTCTGCTGCAGCTCAACCACATAGCGAAGCACATAGTTGTCAAGCGAATTCAACAGCAAAACCTCATCCGCAGTGATAATGCAACGGATCTGCTCCAAGTTCACAACAATGGCCTTCTCTCGTCCCAAGATAGTCGACGGATACACAAACAAAGGATCAAGGAGACGCAAATCACGTGCTGGCAAGTCGCATCTACGCATCATAGTGAACTTATCGACCTCAATGACCTGAGTGTTGGCGAAAGTGTCAACACGAATCCATGACTTGAGCCCTTGTCCACGCTTCTTCAGACCCAAAACATCAACTCCGAGGAGTGGCTGCCTTCCTGATGCAGAAGGCCGAGACGCTGCATCGCCTCTGAGGTTTAGAGCTGAAGCAGGTCTTGAAGGAACCAAACGCTCTTTGAGATCAGACATTGTTGCCAATATCCAGATACTACACATAGCCAAAAAGGACGAAAGATTACAAGAATGGAAATTTCTCTTATCTATAAGCCATAAGCAACAGATTAAGAAATAAAAGAAGAAACTTCAAACCTCCGGTTGAAGAAACCAAGACCGATTTAGCCAAACTGTAATCCGAAAACGAAGAAGCAGCCTCAGAATTTGATCAAGTATCTGCACAAAATTAGACCAAGAACAACAAATCATACAGCAGAAGGCGAGGATTAGATCAAAGAACGATTCAGGGTTAAAATTCTGAGTCATATCACATAAGTCATCGAATCGGAATGGGACCCAGAATCAGATAGATTCTCTGAAACCACAAAACAGAGAAAAAAAAAAGAAAAACTCACCAAAAAAGACTCAAATTGCACAGAAAGATTCGAACTTGCTGCAGAAATCTCGCGACGAGAAAACCCTAAGAACGAGAATCGATAGTAATCGAGAGTGGATTGTCGAAATGGTTTTCGTTGGATTCGTAACTAATTTGCTTGGAGTGAATGCGAAGAAGCACAAAGCAAACACCTTTTGCCCTTGTGGACGAAAATGGTTTAAAATTCCGAAGTGCAAACCGATTATTGACTAATTTACGTTGGTTGAGACTCTTATTTACCGGTTTAACACTAACTTTCCATTAGTAATCTAATCTTAACTACTCCAAAAGTTCGGTAGATAGTTAATGTTGTCTACAAACAAATTAATTAAACGTGACTAAGATAATTTTTTTTTTTGTCGTCTAGAATTTTATTAGAATGAAGAAGATACAAGGTGTTACACACCAATCATACTAACTGGCGGATATCAAGAGATCCCCAGAAATTAAGCCCATACAAGGGAAACAACAAATTAAACTACACCACAACAACTCTTAAAACAACTCTTAAACTACTTAGAGACTAAGTTAATTAATATGGCAAATGTTGTGACCAGTTCTTAAATTGTTTATTAGAATGAGATAACAACGTGCAAGAGTCAGTGGAAAGAAACAGTGATGACGTAAGCCGCTGAGAATCTATCTAAAGATCCTCTTCAGACCCGATTCACATATTGACCCGAACCATAATATCCCGGTAGCTTTATCGACCGACCCGTTTACCTGGTTTCCTCTACCTTCTGAGGTTTCGCGGAAAAATCATCGATCGGTTGAAATCTGAGTCTTTAATCATCTGAAATCCTCATATCTGTTAGTGATTCGCGTTCTGGGCATTGAACTATTCCAATCATTGGAGCTCGATCACTCCTTGGACTTTGCTCTTAGACTTCATCCTCGAGGTGATCAAATTCGATCAAATTCGCAATTTTTGTTGGTTTTTTGCTTACAACTTGAAATGGGTTTTGCGATTTCTGTACGAAATTGATCAAATTTCGACGATCAGTCATTCTTTCGATGATTTTTCTTTTCCATTTTGTTTGCGGAAATCTATGTTGTTGCATTACCATTCTGCTGCGTCGATGTGACCGAGACACTCTTAATTTTATGAGTAGCTTAGACACAGAGTTGTAGTATCGCCTAATTTCTGATACAAATTTGCTTTTGTGTGCTTAAAGGTGTTATGAGCTCTTAGAGGCTATGGGAATGGCGTCCATGAGCTCTGGTAGTGAAAGTCTTAGACTTTGCGTGTTTGACTTGAGGAGAGGCCAAAACGAAGGTCAGGAATTGGACAAGATCTTGTTCTTCTATCCTCCTGATCAAACCTTCTCCACTCAGTTATCGGTTATTGGGCTCAGTGAAGGGCTTATCACCTTTACAAGGTCAGCTTTATAGAGAGATTCTCCTTCTTCTCAGTTGTTACAAACTCATGGATTCAAATTGGTTTAGTTTGTTTATGGGATAAAAATGCAGACTTTTCTCACCGGAGGCAGCTTGTGAGGTAATAGAAGCAGAGAGACATTCCCATGTTTTCTATGAAGCCGAGCCAGACATATGGATGGTCATGGTACATCATTCATCAACAACTCTTTTATCACTTGTTATGCCACTTGAGTTTCACCATCATTCATATGCATAAAGAGATCAAAATTTGATATTAGACTTTGGTAGGTTGTAGAGAAAAACAAGGAGATTGAAGCCATATGGAGGGTTGATGCATTGCAGAGAATACTCAAGGAAGTTCACTCTCTCTTTGTCATGTTTCATGGATCAATTAGGGCATTGCTTGAAAAAGAACCAACCGGAGGGCTTACTCGATCGCACTTGTATCCATTCATCACTGACTACTTAAATGGTAAAGCAATATCCACCAAAATCTAGCAAATATCAAATCCTTGTCATAGAAACTTGTCAATAAGTTTTCTGTTTTGTGGTCAGATCTTTTTGTTGGGAAGAAACTTCAGTTACCTTCTTTCCGCGAAACTCTGAAAGAGCGTGGAACTGTTCAAATGCTTACGTTAGCAAGAGACGCAGCCATTGAAGTTCAGGTTTGTTTCTCCATCATAAACTCCATTTCGGTGTAACACACTTTAATAGTTCACTGTTTTGACTAGTGTTTTCTTAGATGTGTACAGTCTCTTGTAGGAGTGCTAGATTCATGTGCTGGTACCGTTCGATGCCACTCTATGATTCTATTTCATGACCTACTGGTGTCAACAACTCTCTCACCTGTATGTTTTCAAATCCTCTGTGTCAATAAGATTCTTGATTTGTCATTGTTATGCGTAGACTATATTATCTTTGGCGTCTCTTTCTCTTATGTCAGGATGATACCGTCGACGTGTTTACATATTCTGTCATGAGATTGACCAGAAACGCGATATCCTCTGGCACGAGCTCCTGGTCATATCTACGCAAGGGATCCACTTTATCTCAAATCTCTTCTAGATCTTCCTCTCCGCAACTTCTTGGTTCAAGTGATCCATCATTGCCTTCAGGAAATGGTAACAACGCCGGTCGTGTGATTAGACCATTGCAGCACGATAAGTGGTCGAAAGGGACAGATGGGTTTCTGGTAACCGATATATGGGGTAGAGATGCGACCCCAACAATCTTGCTACAGCAGACACAAGAAAGAGTTTATCTTTTGACTTATCAATACAAAAATCTCACCTTGGTTCTTCTCGTTCCTGACAATGCCATTGTCAATGGAGAGCTTGACATCTCCTTCGTGAAGCATCAAGTTATTGAAAACGTAAGCTGCTCTCTGTGTAAACCTCTCTTTCCCTCATTGCAATCTTCTATGGCTCCATCTTTTATCTTATGTTGTGTTTTTGCAGGCATCGGCGAAAATCTTGAAAGTGGAAGAGAAGATAACGAAAGGATGGGGCGGTGAGAATGCTTACCATGTAAGCGGTTACCGTTACTTGATAGTTGATACTGACATGGAAGTATCCAGAGCTTCTCCACCGGGAAAGGTAGCAACTTTGGCAAAGGTGAGAGAGAGCTTACATCAGTTTAGTGACTTGCACAAACCAAAACTAGGATCAAATTCAAAAAACTTGAATCTTTGGTCTCACAGGAAACTTTACTTGCACAAAACAAGCTAAGGGAAACAGTGGATACAGAGAAGAGCCGGACGAAGGAAGAGAAAGACATGGAGATAAGCATTCGAGCTAAGAACAACGCGTGGGTCATGGCTCGTTTAACCAGAGGTAAAGAGCTTTACATGGCTTTGGAGAAAGCAAGTGAGACTCTTCTTGATGCAACAGACTCTGTCCAGAGTTTCAGCCACAAGTACTGCAGCGGAGTATTCTCCATGGATTAGATTCTGTAACTTTCTTATTGCAACTGAGAACTGTCTTTTTTTTTTGCAGTATTTTGAGATGTTTCGGTTTTTATTTTATACACACAAAAGGAGAACCGTTACAAAGAATGAAAATTTGGTCAACATTGGATATAACGGAAATCAAAAGACTTGACCTTTGACAGTTTGAAAAGGTCAAACAGAAACTTAAACTCTGATTTTATTTCATTAGTTCCAAATTTACGAAAGCTTAAAAGGCTTTTGATCGTGATTACACAAAGGAGAAATGACTTTATTTACATTTTTAGTAATCATTAACGAGACAATTCCAAACTATTTACATTGTTCCTTCAGTCTCTGTTGTTATTTATGTGCACTGATTCGATCATTTCGAAATTATGAAAATAATCTTTCAAGCGTAAGGATTGACGTGAGATGAGTAATCTCGTGTTCCTGCACCTTCCCATCCCATCCATTCTTCCCACGTGTCGCAATCTGGATCATTCATACCGTTTAACCCCTCGTCGTATACATCGAACGGCTGAAATTCCTCCGCCCCTTCCATCTGGTTCTTAATTTGCTTCAACACAATCTGCAAAAACCCAAAAAAACAAAAGGAGATCAATTTTCCATTACAAAAGACCTTTAAATTTAAACAAACAAAGGTAAAGATGTTCTCTTTAACACACACTTACATCGTAAGCTTCGTTGATTGTCTGAAACTGAACACCACAATTGCTTCCTCTACAAACATCAGGATGATACTGCAAAAGTAAAAAAAAAAAAACTTTAAGAAACCCAGAGGATTAAATCGATGAAAAAATCGAATTTTTCGTAACAGAGAGAATCAGATCTAAACGATCGAGCAGAAGAAAAGTCGAACCTTTTTAGCGAGTTGTCTGAAAGCTTTCTTGACCTCGTATTCGGACGAATCGGGTCGGATCCTAAGAGTCTTATACGGATCCATTACAGAAGATGAAGAGCAAACGGCTCCTGGTCTGTTCATCATCTTCGTGCTCTTTCTTCTGCTGTTTTTTAATCGAAACGTTGAAGATGATGACGAAAACGAAGATCCGGGTAGACCCGAGAACCCGTTTCCTCCAATCGTTAAAGCGATAGTCATATTTTTTTTCACTTTTAAAGAAGGAATTAAACAGAAAACCTAGAAGGATATATGGTTTCAGACAGAATTAAAATGTGGAGAACTTTTTGTAGATTAAAGTGATTTGCAAGGTTCAATAATGGGGATTGGATTATATAGAAGGAGAGAGAGAGGGAGGTCGGATTAATTTATAGAGAGAGAAAGGGGTGACTCATCTTTTTGTCATCTAAAAGTGTCCTTATCCATAACGCTACCGATTTCCAAGGGCAATTGGCTTTTACTATTTTTTATATTTAGATAAACCTTTTATCCATTCCTGCTTTTTTGTTACGATTATGTTTTAGATAATTTAATATATTTTTTTCTAAATTAAGAAAACCATATACTGTGTGGTGTTGGGGTCTAATTTCTGGTGTGCTTTAACAAAATGTGAAAGACAAGCAAAATGTTTGAGAGGTACCGTATTATAAGATGTTGGTAATAAGTACAAATCAGTTCTCTTTACAAATAACGTTTTGAAAACTGTGGGTGGTTTCACACAAATGACAAACTAAAGAGTACCCACAATCTATTTTTATTCTTTCTTGATACAATTGTTATTCTTTTAACCACAGTAATATACTTTGAGATACTCTTTTTTAGAATGATACCGACATTTTAAGAAGAAAAATACTGATATTATTGCGTTCTTATCCGAAACAATTTGAAGAACAAAAATACGAGAAAGATTCCTTTAGAATTTGATGCTCTTCACGAATCAAAATATCTCACGATTCTCATCAAGACACGCAAACAAATTTATACTATTTTGTGGATCACAAAATGCACCAACACATATCTATGGTCCGACTCTGACCGATGAAAATGATATTCCACAGTTTAGTTCAGGTCAATTGATTGATATATTGCATTTTAATAGAAAGCCATTATTTTTCAGGAACTTGTTTACGACAAACAAACAAATTTCTAACTTGTTTAGCAGCCATATGTTGTATTTATCTTTTGTATAAATCATTCATAAAAAAGTTTTAAATTTTGAAAACAACAACCAAAAATTCATACAACACAACCTTAATCGTCTAGCTAGTCTCTTGTCATCAGCTTATTATCAAAGGATTATGCAAGAAACAGAACCAGATAGATGATTGCTCATTGAGTTCTCATGAAAATTCAAGTTGAACCAAAATACGGCGGATAACAAACAAAACAGCCTCTCAAGATCTTCTTCTTCGCTTCCTCTTCTCTCTGTCGCTTTCATCCGAACTAGAAGATGATGAATCCGAATCAGACTCGGAACTAGAACTGTCAGATCCAGATGATGATCCTGATTCCGATTCCGGAACTTGCTTCTGTTGTTGCATGATGAGGCGAGGCATGTTCTTCAGGTACTCTCTGAGGTTCTCTGTGATGCCTCCAAGACCAATGGAGGTAAAGAAGTTGATAGCAAACCTCGTGTTCTTTGGATTGTCTTTAGGGAAGATAGATTCAAGTGATTCCTGCATTGTTGGATCCTGAAGCCTCTCATTAAGCAGCTTAATCCCCAGGTGCTCTGACAGTTCCTGCAACCAATGCAAAATAGCAACCAAATCAGTCACACAAACAAAATTCCAAACCTTCACCATATTCATTAACAGAGTCTTAATTGTGCAATGTTCCAGGAAACTGATTACTTAAGGAAATTCTTGCTCCCATTGGACCATTTGTATCTATATGCATTAGGATCCCGATTTATGGATCTCTCGGTTCGAGAAAGAAAAATAAGAGGATCGAACCATTTCTTCTGACTCTTTTTCAAATTCGATAAATGTTGGTTGATCGTATCTTTCATTATAGTTCTATGATTCAGAGTATCATTTCCTATTAGATCCCTTTGAATTCCATATTCGAAGTTGCGATCAGGTCTCTTCATTAAAAAGAATCGATTCAATACATTTCTTATGTACCCATAGGGACTATATTGGAATTGGATTTGAATCAGATTTCGGATCAATCTATATTGATTGACTGCCTCCATTATGTTGTTGCTAGCAAATACCACTCTTTTTTGTTTTGGATCTTCCAAATAATTCCCGCAGGAGATCCGGACCCAATTTTTTCTGATCCTTCGATAAAAAGATTCATTTTCTTCATAAAAAATAGGAGGTAGAACCAATAAAGATTTCTTTTTCGATTCATCCCTGGAGTTGAAAACCTCCTTCAAGAATTGTCTTTGATCCAACCCGTAGGAATCAATAGAAAAGGCAAATCCCTTATGATACACCAGATCCGGCTCGGTTATTGATAGAGTGAATAGATCTGCCATTTCTTGAAATCTCTCTTCTGACTCAAAATCGTGGCGTAACGTGTACCCCCCCCTCTTCCGTTCATGGAATAGATCAAATAAATCAAAAAATTGATTTTTGTTCAAGAATGAAATCTTT